AGAAGAAGAAGAAGAAGAAGAAGAAGAAGAAGAAGAAGAAGAAGAAGAAGAAGAAGAAGAAGAAGAAGAAGAAGAAGAAGAAGAAGCTGAGACAAGACCTGCCTCACCCAAAATATCAAACACAAAAGTCTCATTTTTCAAACAGAACAAAATCAGCTTCCCTCAGAGAAACTTTAGGTAAATAAAAAAATAAATCACAGTGAAAGTAACCTGGAAGAAAGTTTTGAAACAGGTCACATTCTGAAGTCCACCTAGGGAAAAAGAAAAAGACTCGGTGAACAGCTCGTGAAAAGCAAAACAGAAATGTAGTGAGAAAGTCAAAGGGAAACTTTTGCATTTGTTTTGAGCAGTCACCATTAGGAGCAAATACTAAAATATCCCCTGAGAATCTCAGGATAAATCCTGAGGGGATTTCACTGGCCTTATCAGACGCGAAAGCTACAACTCTTGTTGCATAGGTCCTGCTTTACCTTGGTCTTAATCAGCCAGCAGAAAAGTATAAAAATGAAGTATATGAAGTAAAGTCATGCTGTTATGTTGAGCTGTAGGGGACTCAGGTCAACAGTTTCTGACATTGCCAGTCAAGCAGAAGACCCAATACTATTATGGGCTACTGGACACTTTTGGAATATTTTGCTGAGTTTACACACCTATAGTATTCAAATAACAGAACTTAACAAAAAAAAAAGGGTATACAGATGAATGTCCATTTTGTATCTGTGAATTCAAAGTGGTTAGGATAGATATATAGTTACATTCTCTTAATGAATAGAGTGATTTGTTCTGATGGTGTTTGTAAATAGGATATCATGTCTGCATCTTGCACAGCAATTAACCACTGGGAAGAACGTATGCAATGTGTTGATTATTGAAACTGTCCTACCACTTTGATTTGAAACTGTCTCGTTGCTATTTGTTTATCAATAAAATTATGGGAAAAAAACAAAATATCCCCTGAGAAATGCAACACAGTTCAGAACCTATTTAATGGTAAGATGGTAAGATCAAGGAAAGATTCACTTTAGGTATGGTGTTATCTTGCAGTTCCTGAGACCATCCTAGGACACATAGTATTCTCAGATGGTTCAAAAGAGTGAAGAAATCTCAGGATCATGCACCTGAGCCAGAAGCCAGGAGAGAACTGAAGTAAAGTGGGAGTGAGGGGCCTCAGCAGACTCCCACTAGATTTGAACACTTGTGGCCTTTCAGGTGGATAGATTACATGGTGCAGAAAGAATAGTGCCATATATACATTTTTATAAGCTACTTGAATATAGTCTATATATCATGCAAAATACAACAGTGTATTATAACATAATTTATGTCCAGAATTTAGTTTGTGTGGTAGATGCAGAAAAGTAAATCCGAACTCTTATTCCGGTACATTGTAGATCACCTTTGCCATAATGAGCATTAGTACTATCCTTATTTACAATTTAAGGTAAAAAGTAAAACAGAGCCTTTGAGGTGAGAATCGCCATGAAAAGCAGTGTGAGTTAGGTTCATGGGATTATTGATCTACTTGCTGTAACTCTTGACAAAATTCTAGCTAGAAAACTACAAATGGAAGGACTGATTTGCTGATTTGTAGACACACCAAGGAATGCAAAATCTCCACCATCCAGACAAAGGTTCCATGCTTGGAGCAGAGCATTTGTGAAGTGCACAACTCCAGAAGGATCACGATCAAGGGATAATGTGAGTACACAAATGGTAGCTGTGCACTTTT